GAGACAGTAATCCCACTCGAGCAAAATACCACTGGCAACCATATTGCGGTCGAATGCAGTCTAATTAACTTTATGATGGTTCAGTTGGTTTTCGTTTCACTTTGTATAAAAAAATTTATCACTTTGTAATCAACACACAACGTTCCATATCTCATTCTCAATTTTTATCACTTTGGTAGCACAATGTTCCATTTCTCATTTTCACTTGAAGTTGGCCTTGTTATCTCTCATATACTTGATACTTTGTTAAAATGTTGGTTCATATTTTATCACCTTGTAATCAGCACTGCGTTTCATTTCTCATTCTCAATTGAGAAGGCCTTTCTATCTCCTTTACTTGATACTTGGTTAATGTAAGGCCTTGTTCTCTCTCTCTCTCTCTCTCTCTCTCTCTCTCTCTCTCTCTCTCTCTCTCTCTCATATATGGATATTAGGAGAGGAAGGACTGGACCTAAGACCTTGGGTGTAACGGTAAATGCTCTCACTTGAGCTACAACTCCATTTTGCGAGACTAGCTACAAAGGAAAAGAAAAACAGCTGAGAGATATATATAAACACAAATTCTTAGGAGTATGTGCTGAATTAATGCTATAATGATTCTAGGTTTATGTTATGTTGTTATATTGACGTCTAAATCTTTTCAACCAATTGGTTTGATTTTTTAAATAGAATAATCAACGGGTTGAGCGGACTTGATAACAAAGACGTCATTCTTTAATGTGCATGTGTGGCATGCCAATATCATGGTCACAAGTGGCCGTGAGTACAAATGATCAAATTACTTACGCTCCTCGCTATGATCTTGACTTCTTTCAAGTGATTGTGGCCGAGACAGAAACTAATTCTCGGCCATAAGTTTCCAGGCTTCGACCACAAGGCCTTTAGAATAGGGATGGCAAAAATACTGGCTGGGTTGACTCCCCGTCGGGTACCTGCTCATAACGAGGGAAGATTTCGGAGAAAATCAGGGGCGGGTACGGGATCCTTGAATTTTAAAAATACTCGGTTGAAGATAGGCTAGGGATAGTATTGTTATCCCCATCCCTGAACCCAGGCCGATTAGTGATATATATATATATATATATATATATATATAATTAATGAATATAGAATATAGAATATAGAATATATATATATATATATTTCAATAAACCATATAGGAAACAATTCATGATTTTCTTGGTTGACCAAGAAACATATGGAAAGTTTTTTTTTAATGTGTTCTCCCTGATTCGTTATTAGAACCTTCTCCCATGTTGTTTGATGAAGCTACCACTACAAGAAAACCAAGTATTTACAGCACGGCATTTATGGTGTGTATTTGTGGCGCACCGTAAAAGAGTAGTTTTTATGGCATGCATTTTGAGCGTGCCATAAATGAATTTTTTCCTATGCATTTTGAGCGCGCCGTATACGGTGCTAGTGCTACAGTGCTACCAAGTTTTTTGTTTATTTCATCTTTTATTTTTGTAGGTTTTTAATGTGTTCTTTTGTTGTTGTTAATTTTAGCAGTAGAATAAGAATTTTGTGACAAAATATTTAGTTTCGATAGTGGATAATGTGATTTCTATTAGTTTTTCAAATTGTTTAGATGATTTTGAGTAGTTAAATTGAATTTTATGGTTTAATTGAATGTAATTGAGTTTTTTTTTTTGGGTCAAAATTGAGAGTAGTAGATTTTTAATAAATACAAATCAGGTAATTGGGGCGGGTTTGGGAGACAACAACCCTCGACAGGGACGGGGACTGAAATTCCCCAAAATTTCTTATCGGGGATAAAGCGGGAACAGGGATGATATTGTCATACCTGTCCCCGAGCCTACTCGTTTCCATCCCTACTTTAGAATGAGCGTGTGGTTGGACAATATCACCGAGCTTGGTAGCTTGGTAGTGGTATTGGGCTCAGGAGCTCAGTGGGTTCATATAGCTCAAGAATTGCGGGTATCTTCAAAAATCTGGGTGGATTGGATGGTACTCAAGAATTAACTCTGTTAATGAAAAACTAAGAAATTCTTGTTAATATATGAAATGGATGATTGAAATGGAAATTGCCCAAGAACTCAAAACGGTTTCTGAGTTCTTCTAATTGAGAGTTACACTAATTTCTAAAGAAAAGCATTAAAAATATAAAAATAAAAAAAACTACGAACTACATTATAAAAGAGTAAAGGGTGCATATGAGCATCTGTTGGGCTTGATTTGTTTGGTTGATGCTAGATCTTTGTTTCATAGATTTTGCTTCTATTTTATAAACTTGGTATTTCTCCGGCCGAGACAATAATTTTGGCCGTGCTCTGACACACGTCCAATCAACTTCATAGCTTTATGTCTACGCTTTTGCTTGTGTTTGGTCAAAATTGGTGGTGGAAAATGTGGCCTTCTGTTGCTTTTGTGCCATGGAACTTTGACACCGTCTCTGAACATTGCTCTCTCTGAACAGTGCCCTTGATGTTTGCTCCCTTGGTGATGCAAACAATTCCTCGGTATGCTCTTGTCGTCGAGCTCATCTCTTTCAAAATGCAAGCACTAAGTAAGCAAGTTTCCCATTGTTTGTTCTCTCTGCGAGGCAAACATTCTCTTGATTTTTATTTTTATTTCAAATATATTTAGTCATATATCCATTCTTAGCACTAATAATATAGATAAACTCTACACCATTTAATTTTTATAAACAAACTATAAAAAAATCCAAAAATTGATAGCTGACCATATTGAATTTAATTTTGATTATTAAATTACTTTAATGCCCTATTGAGTGTTTTGAGTTCTTTTTATGAGGTTTTGGAGTTGGGTTTGTTTTAAAAAATCAATTGTTGTTTTATAATTTAAAAGAAGTTAAAAACCTTTTTGTTATGTTGTAAATGAGCTTTGGGTGTGTTTCTAAAGTCCATTTCATATAAGTTTTTTTTTATAATTTGAGCTCTTATATTGGATATAATAGTAAATCTCCTTTAAAAAATTCGGCTTCTTTTGTCATTTAGGCCACGCATGTGGGTTTGGAAGTCCTTTTAGGCCCAATAGTATCTTCCTATTTTCAGTTGCCGCCATATTGGAAGGCTCCTTCTCCTTAGGCCCATTGGCAAAAAAATCTAGGCCCAAACACGTTCAAGAATATTTATTCTCCAGAGACTTCTGTTCGGCAGAGGTATTGTGATCAAGTATGGTTCTACGCTTGAAATGACTTTCCTCTTAACAGCTTGTATGTGGGCACCAAACCTCGTTTTTCGGAAAGATAAACTTCTTCTCTTTCCAAAAACCTTCGCTCCCTTCCACAAAAACAACCTGTTTCCGCCATTGAAGCAATCTCTCTCTCTCTCTCTCTCTCTCTCTCTCTCTCTCTCTCTCCAAAGTTTCCAACTCAGAACCAAAAAGAAGTAGAAAGCAAGTGATTTCACTCTGGGACCGTGTTAATACCAACCAGGCCAGAATTTAAAACCAATTATTTCATTTTTGCATTACAATTAAATCAAATTGTCCTCAGAAAGATAGAGTTGAACCATGTTAAGCCATTTTCAATCCTCACCGCAAAAGAAGTATTCTGCTAACTCATGGGTAAACAACCGTTGAGAAAATGCTGACACACACAATGACAATGGGCATCTACCTTACAAAAGCCTTCATATCCTGAAGAAATTTCCCTTCCAAAACCACCGACTCTCCTTCCTCCCTAATAAAATGGATAGCTTATAGAAAATCAGTTTCAACGTTTCCTCCTTCACTGCCACTCCATCGACATTCTTGCTCAAGGAAGGGTTAACCCCATTTCACAACTCTTCACCACCCCTAATTGCCACTTACATCGACATTCATTTGCCCTACTGTGTTGTTTTTGTTTTTAATAATTTTCTTTAAAAAGAATATCTGGTTTGAGTGTTTGGAATTTTCACGCTGGACAAGAATTTCCTTCTGTTTTTTCATTTTTTGGTTCATGCGACTCAACAAAATTAATGGGAAAAAGATAGGGCTAACATCATTTTACTCAATGAAAGTTTGGGATCATTCTTGAAATGGGCCACTGAGTTTCAATTTTCTCAATTTACACCTTGACGTTTTAATATTCAATCAATGTACATATTCGGTCAGTTTAACTATTTGGTCTTCTGTTAAATGATGACGTAGCAAATGCAGGGTCCACTTTTTATCTTAGGTGTAATTAAATATTAAGAAATAATATTTAAAAAGAAATTAATTTTTTGTACAGATATTAAAATTAAAATAAAAAGATATATCTCCTCTCTCTCTCTCTCTCTCTCCTCTCTCTCTCTCTCTCTCTCGTCAATCTCATCTCCGTATCAACCCTCACTCCATCTTGCCCAGTACAAAACCATCTATTTTTTAAATCTACATTCATAGATCATTCTTGTAAAAATTAGACAAATCGGAAACCGTTTCAATATCCAATTGTATCCTACAAATTCAATGAACATAGTGGTTCAAGAGAGCACTAAAATTTCAATAATTCAAATGAGTGGTCAAATGATATCGGATTCAACTAATTTTTTTGTAGAGATGACCTTTGAATGGGTATCTACAAAATAGAAGTTTGGATTAGTGAAATACAATATAAAGTGACCCCTACAAGAGTGTCCCTCGAATAAGCTTATTTGAGGAATCCCTCAACTGAAGTTCCGTGTATATATATATATATATATATATATATATATATATATATTCCTAACAAAATAATATTTGGGCTAGCAAATGAAATTAAGCTTAGACAAGAAGAAAATAACTTGAAGCTTAAAATATAACCAAAACATATTACAATTCAAATGGCCGCACCCTCAAACCATCATCATCATCATCATCATACTCTTAGTGCATTTTTGCATTGAGAAAGATTTTTTTTTCCTTTTTCTTTCATATTTGGTCTTTGGTGGGGATTTTCCCATCTGATTATAAATCATAACCTTGACAGACAAACTGTATACAATCAACAAGTAAAGGTGAACACAAGAGGGTGGGATTATGGGACAAAACTCTCTTATGTAACTTCATATTCATGCATCGTAGCGAACATCCGTGACGAACCTGTTCTTGATCCACTTGAAGCTATTTTTTAGACTTGTTTTAACCTTACCTTCCATTGTAAACACGTTGTATGAGGCAACTCTCTTCTTCCTCTGCAGTTCTGGATCACTTGATGTCGCAAACCCACTTCCCTTCTGAGTTGGCCCGTTGAAGTTGTACGAATTCGACCGCTCCCGGAATCCGAACTCTCCGGAGTAAGCCGAGGTGTATTCAGGGAATGACTTGCTTTTTTCCATTGTCAAAAGCCAGCTTAAATGTTTGGCTATAGGAAAACCCCTTTCTCAAGCTTCATGGTGGAATTTATACTATTAAAGAAGTAATGGACGGTGGAGATTGAATATCAAACGATAGTGGGTGCATGCCTGCATGATGGATCCAATGTGGTTGCAGCCCATGTGTGATGTTCGAAGGCTGCTTTTGGGTTGTCACTCGGGCAAGGCAAGGGAATCATGAGGGCCAGTGGAGTGTGATGGTGTTGGGCTATTGGTGGGCCTTAGTTGTAGGACATGCCATGATTTATGATGGTTCACATGGTAGGATGTCGACACAATATTGCTAGTTGAGTCATGGACGTGGGACCCGACAATAGCTATTCTCGTTTCATTGCTCCTCTCTCGATCTCTATTCTTCTTTGTTGGGTGACATATATAGAGAGAGAGAGAGAGAGAGAGAGAGAGAGAGTGAACAGGTATAAGTTCTCTCTCGTAAACTAGGGTTAAGGTACTTATAGCAAGTCCATTTGTTTCTTTGCATAAAAATTCGTATAAAACAAAGATAGCACCATTTTGCTATTTTTAAACCAATCACAAACTGTTATGTATAAAATTTAGGGTTTGTCCAATATAGGTCTCTATAATTTCTATTTCCTAGACATATATCCATCATTCTATAAATCTATGTGTAAAACCCAATTTCAAACTTAAATGACCAGTAGGATATAAGAGGTCGTAGTATTCCTATGTTTTTTACATCCTTGTCATCAGACTTCATATTTTATTTATGATTTATTCCAAGCATTTCATTAACTGTCATAATTGTAATTAAAACTCCCTAGTAATAGCATGTCAATTACCCCATTTCTTTTGTAACATATGGCCCCTTAAAATTGCAAATAAAAAAAATATGTAAATTACATATCCATTAATGTACATATGAAAATATAAATATAAATATATACGTATAAAAATATAGGTATATTATTTACCAAAAAAATTAACAAAAATAGGTCAATTACTTTCTAATTGAAATTTCCGTACATTTTTCATAAATTTAAAATAGGTACACAATAATTTATAGAAAATAGGTACGTTGTATAATTGAAATTTATGCACATTTTTTATAAATTAAAAATAGGTACATTATTTAGAAGAAAAAAATAAGTTCATTATACTAGGTAAATTGTTTTACTAGGTATACATTATTAGAGAAAAAAGGTACATTATTTAGAGAGAAAAATAGGTTCATTATAGTAGGTAAATTGTTTTACTAGGTACATTATTAGAGAAAAAAAAATAGGTACATTATTTTGAGAGAGAAAAAAGGATCATTTAAAAAAAAATTGTTTTCATAAAACAAACAATAAAAAGATGATCAAATTATTTTTCATAAAACAAGTAATAAAGAAAAAAAAATAGGTACAATATTTGGAGAAAAAATAGGTTCATTAAAAAAATTGTTTTAAAAACAAAACAATAAATAGATTATCAAATTATTTTTCAACATAATTAGAATGTACACTATTATTCATAAAACTATAATAAAAAAGAATATTGGTCGTATAATTCATAAAAAGAAAACAACATTAATTCCTAAATTTAATATTGAATTTAAATTATTAATACTTTAAATAGATTATTAGTCGTAATTCATAGAAGGAAAACACCATTAATTCAAAAAATAGATTACTAGTCTTAAAATAGATTACTAATACTTTAATGTGGAATTTAATATTTAATTTCAAATAAGTTTCTAAATTAGTTCCTACATCCATTACAATTATTTGGAAATATTTCCAAATTCAACGGGTGTCATTAGTTACACCCCCCATAACACATTAACTTATAAATAGGGGTAGTTTTGGAATCCGAAAAATACAATAAATCATATTTTAAGTTATATTAGGTAACTTGCTTAGTTGGATCCTAGTTATCGGATATTATTTGAAAAAATTTGGTATTTTAAATAGAAAACTAAAGGAAAGGGTTGCAAGTGATTTAAAATGAATTTTATGGATCTAAACTAAATTTACTATAAAATTTATCACGTATAGCATAACGTAATTAACCGAACATAGCAAAATAATGATATCTCCATTTCACACAAGTTTTTCCTCGTTTTGTAGAAAGGATATGCCAAAACAACCAAGCATGTATGTATGCATGTCTAATGTCTCTGTCAGTTTTATGGTGGCACCTTGAAAGTCAGCCAGCCAACCTCAACCTAATTAACCTTTATGAAAAGTGGTGGAGTCATCTTTTACTTTATGCTTAATTGATGTTGGTGGTGGCTTAGTGCTGTGTGGGCCTTGGTATATTATGATTTAAGAGGCGTGCATTATCTTGAGCAAAAAAATATTTATTATGTAGATATTTATTGCCTAGATGTTCTTTGATATTTGATTGTCATTATACATATCTTCTCCACTTTCTTTCTTTATTGTGATTTGCTGCCCATTGGAGGTGATGTGTGGCCAACTAACCCTTTTTTGTTTTTTTTTTTTTTTTTTTTTTTTTTGTTTTTTGTGGAAGGGGTAGGGGTATGTGCTATTAGGGTTAGAATCTGAGATCATTAATCTACACGTAAATGCTTTAAGGTTTAGGATTTAGGATTAAATGTTCTTACCACTATGTATTTAGAGTTGCTTAATTTGACTTCGTTAAGAGGTGCTAATGATCGCCTCACACACTTATTTAATAATCATCATATAACCAATCACTTTAAATCTCTATTCAGGCATGTACCAAAGAAGAAACAAATTTCACTCTTCATATTGTACTTTGCTGCCTTTCCTTACGACCATTTTCATATGTCTAGGGCACTAAATACAAGTCCAACAAGCGGGATTGTCTTCATATGCTAAAAAAGTGAACATATTAGCCAACACGGTTTAGTCTAATGGAAAATGACTTGATTTGCAAACCAGTTATCTCATATTTAAACCCCCCCAACATATTGGTAGTGTGTATGAGAAATCATCATCCCTCTTGTAGTTTAGATGATTGGTTGCATTCGGGAAAAAAAATGAACATATTAAAACCGAGCTACCTAGGTTTCCCTTCTCTCCAAACTTTAACTTTTGGCTAGGTTGGTCATAATCACATTATAAGCATTCTTTGCCCTTTTTGGAGTGCAGCGTGCTTATTAGAGCGAATATCAGATGAAAGATGCTGGTTTATATCACTGTCCAAAATTGAATTTTAGTTCCGACAATTTTTTTTATTTATCGACAAGCCATTAAATTTTAGTCTCTTTCAAATAGTAAAAGATGCTGCAAGTTAGACTCCTCCCTATCCCGTTGATTGAAAACAAGATCATCTACTTTTGTTATGGTCGCCTTGATCTTTTACTCAATTTTGAATTTCAAATATTCAAATATATTCATTCTACCCGAAAAAGATTCAAATGATAGAGAACATCGTGTCTAGGCTGTCTTCTCTTGAGCATCGATGTCCTGCTTCAATAACTGATGCCTCATATACAGTGGCGGATCCAGGATTCAAAAGTCAGGTAGGCGAAACTTACCTTAAAAACTCGATGGTACAAGTAAATTTCATTCATAAAAATAAAAATATAAACCTAGTCGGGGAGAGCGTAATGAGATTTACCTTCATATGTAAAAACTTAACAAACTAAAAAAACTAATTAATGCAATGCAACAAAAAACTAAACTATTTAAATCTAAAACTAAATTAAACTATTAAAAAACTTAAGATTCATACATTTGTTTTAGGAAAAAGCCAATAAAGAATACTTATTGGCCTTAGATATGAGAAAATGCTACCAAGCGAGAATGTCCAGACTCAAAAAGAAGCTGCAAAAGATAATGATTTAGGAATGTCGACTATTGCACAACCAAAAGGGAATTGGCTGCTTACTTATATTGCTTCTCCCCCTTTTCTTTTTTTAAGTTTGACTGTGCTATATAACACCGGGGTTGCTCTTAAGTTTGGATAGGCATGTGTTCACACCATTACATGGGATGGGTAGGAATAGCTTTGCTTACATATAGGGTTTTTTTTTCTGGTGAAAAATTTGGGTAGGCAACTGCCTACCCTGCCCTTGCTATAGAACCCGCCACTACTCCCATATTCAGAGGTTTTACCTTAGGCCACAAGTAACCTTTTCTAACTCAATTCATGTGGTTATTTTTTTAGCTTTGGCTACGAAAAAGTTAAGACATAAAAAAATTTGGCTTTGTATCACAAAACGTCTCTAACGTTTACGAAACTATTAGATTGCATCCTTAAAGTTTTTTTGTATCACTCATAGTCCCTAACATTAATATGAGTGCTATTAAATAGTCATTTTGTCAAAAAAAACTGTTAAATCTAGGGATATAATCGTCAAATCAATCCAAAATTATAAAATATATATATTTTTTATTTCCTTCACTTCTCTCTTTCTTTCTTCTTCTTACAGTCTTTCTTTTCTTCTTCTTCTTCTTTCTCTCATTCCTTATCTCTTCTCTGGGTATCTCACATGGGACTATTTGATGTATATAGATGCGGTTTGACCATTATTTTTTTCTTTGTTTTCCTTCTTTTAATGCAATTTTCTTTTTGATTTGTTTTTTTTATGCTAGAGGAGACAAACGGCTGTTTGTTATGAGGCATGATCCTGGAGACAAACACTTCCATTATTCGACCCTGCCCTGCCCTGGGAGGCAACCTACCACCCACACCTCCATTGCAGGAGCTAAGCTAGAAACCCACTTTTTCTTTTCTTTTCTTTTCTTTTCTTTTTTCTTTTTATAAAACAAGGACATTACCTGTTTTACATTCCGTTTATTATTGGAACCCCACAAAAAAAAAAAGGGCCATCAACAACTCTCAGATTTTAAACTACTGGCGGAGAGAAAGAAGAAGAAAAAAGAGAGAAAGAAAGAAGAAGAAAGAAAGAGAGAACGGAAGGAAATAAAATATACATATATTTTACAATTTTGGATTGATTTGACAATTATATCCTTGAATTTAACAGTTTTTTTTGACAGATGAACTATTTAAGAGCACCCATATTAACGTTATGGACCATGAGTGATACAAAAAACTTTAAGAATGCAATCTGATAGTTTCGCAAACGTCAAGGACGTTTTGTAATAAAAAACCAAAGGAGCAATCTTGGAAAGCCTTAAAACGTATTTTCTACTTCATGTTTTAAACACTCACCAAAACCCTAATATGCTGCTCCAAAAGGTTAAAGTAAATTCTCTTAAATCCTATACGTCTGCGTCTAATACAGCCACCAGAATAACACTGCATATTTGATTCTGGCTGCTAATTTACAATTAGAGCAACATGCCAAGAATTAAACCAACTATGATGTCAGTGGTTTTGTTTCCCATGCCATTATCTATCACGTAAATGGTAATGTAAAGAAACCATAAACAAACTGCAATCAAGAAACCAGCAGTGAAACAGAGGAAAAGTCTGAACAAAATACTGACTTGGAAGATAAGCTACTAAGGTCCAAGACACTAAGAATTATGCAGACCACAAACACGAGATCACAGATGTAGTGAATGATGATCAAGTAACAATTGCATTCATATATAGAAACCGTAATACCTCAAAATTCATGAAAGGTAATACTATCCGCAAATGATTTTATCAACTCTTCATTTACTTGTGGTTACTAATCCTGCATGCACAACAAACCCTCGACTCCTCGCCACGTCACCAACCTGATTCTTTCCACATTGTAGGATATTACCACAACCATACTAACGTTGGAATGAAAGAGATAGGAGCCAGTGTTTGGATCTTTGACAGCTTTGAAGTTGTCAACGCTCATTCCGAAACGGCCTAACAAAGAGTTGCCCATATCTTTCAGCTTCCCTACTCACATAGAACAATTTCAAACGCTTAGTCTAGAGCATATTTCTTTTTCTTTTTCTTTTTCATTTATGAGAAACATTAAAATTTAGCAACTGAGCAAACATACATTACAAAGGAAACATGCCCACTAACAGCCATGTCTAAAATTTAACAATGAAGTATGCCTTAAACAAGCAAAATATACCAGTCACGGGCATAACAAAATTAGGTTTTTACAAGTAAGCTCATTTTAGCATGACATATTATACAAAAACCCATATAGAGCCTATTTGGGGAGAAAAACCCAAAACTAGCCACTTGTCATTTTCTATTAGTTCTTAGTGTGTTAAAATTTTCCAAGAACCAAGTAGAAAATGACAAGTGGCTAGTTTTGAGTTTTTCTCTTCAAGTAGGCTCTATAAGAGTTATTGTATAATATGTAATGTTGGAATGGGTCTAATGATGATAAGCCCTAACAAAATTGGACATGATATCTGTTGTCACCAGAAAGCATGGAATATGTGAATAACCATTACAGAAATCAGACATGAGATAGGAGAATTAAAATGTACATGTTCTTACCATTTTTTATTAACATATTCATATTTCTAAAAGAGAATGACTCATTAAGTTGACATCATCAACAAGGATAAAACATTCTCCCTAATGTTCCCTGAACCTACCTCAGTGACATACTTTGGCAATCATGAACAAGTTAGCTAGTGTGTCATAAGCAAGGACCATATGTCATTAAAAAACTGATCAGTAGGCTGCAATTTTAGGATTTCTTCATTTATTAGTCTTGACATTGTTTCAAAAAATCAGTCAAATTAGTTATTCTAGTCATTTGGCAAGTAATTACTTCGTGAAAACGCATTGCCTAGATTCCCTTCTAATTGCCCAGTCCTTTGGCCTTCATTGCTCACCATAAGTATAGGAAAGAAGTCATGTGAAGACTACCAGAGTAGTCTGTCTACGATATGGATTGGGCTTTTATCCTTTTTTGGACATTGTTTAATGAAAAAAATACAATCATGGTACATACAGAATTTAGGAATAACTTGATCGAGTGGCCAAAAGAAAAATAATCTAAAATTACAAACCATGAAACAATAAATAATATAAATGCAGAAGAAAATAATATAATTAACTTACCAATGATCTTATTAACCAAAAAGAAAAAAGAAACTTACCAATCATCTCCTCTTTCATCTTTTCTCTCTTTTCTTCAGCCAGCGGCCCAAGCGGTGAATGGTCTTCTTGGCTTGGTCATTTGAAGGATCAAGTTCCAAGATTTTTTTCATGTCTACAAAGTAAAGCATACATTGAGCAATACATATTAGTATAAAACCATAAACCAGTACACATGAGAACACGGAAGTTGCTTCCAGTGGGATAAAAAGAATCAAGAATATTGTCCAGAAATACAAGGATTAACTAATGAAAGGTACCACCTTAGAATACAGTACAATGGTTAAAACTTGTATTATATCTGAGCTTACCGGCAATAGCCTCGTCAAAATGCTCTAGTTTTTCATGAGCTTCTGCTCTTCTAAGCAGAGCTTTCATATATGAAGGATTTAGTTCTAGCGCTTTTGTGCATTCCTTGATTGCGTCCTCATATTTTCCCTGTGACATTAAGATTCAAACATTAACAATCATGCACAACTAAGAAGCTATTGGTGTAGAGAAGTTATAATGAAAAGAATAAGAAGCCTTTTCAAAGCATATAATAATAACACAAGGAAATAAATAAGGGAAAAACTAAAAGTGAAAACAGCGTTTCTTTGTTTGGTCAGGAGAGTGAAAACAGCTTACAATAACTAGCACCAGTTCTGCTCACGGCCTGGACATCATCTATAACCTTGTAATATTTGTTGCCTTTCACTATAAGTCTTCATTTTAAAAGTTAACTATAAACCTCCCTAATAGAGCTAATTCTATGTAGTTATTTTTCTGTAAAATATAACTAGAATCCATTTCAAATAAAAATTTCCAGACACATGATGAAGGAAATCAAACCCATTTTTTGCTTTTAAGACCAATCTATGCATCACTGGAATCACATTACTTTTCTGTAACAACTTGCATACTTCAACAAAGACTGCCAAGAAAATAAGAGGGAGAAGAGAAAAAGCCCCTTTCCGAATAATTGCACAAATCATAGCTTTTCCCATATGTGGAAATCAAAAGTGCATTAGAACATAAGCGGCTTCATCAACAAATTTCTATTCCGTACTAACTAGCAAAGTCATATGTTACAAAACAAATCTACCCATTAAACCAGAAAAATACTTCATATTGTCAACAAACTAAGAATGCACTAGATATGTATACCATGTCAATACCTCAACTATTTTACGTGAACTTTTAATCACAACATAGAATGTAAAATTGAAAAATAAATAAATAAATAATTCAGGAAACATATTTGCCAATATTTTAACCGTATAGCATACCAATTTCGAGAAGCATATTGCACTGTTTGCGTGACATATTGAACGTAATTCCACAGATAATGGCATGTCAGGTGCAAGTTGTAAAGCAAGCACATACTGTGATAATGCCTCTTCATATTGCCCACTGCCAAACAGTCTATTGCCTTCCAATTTGACATCATTTGCTTGTTCAAATGCTTTCTGATCCAGATGCAAACAGAACAAATCAACAACAACAAAAAAATTATATTATCTCAACAGGAACGTAGGAATTGTAAGTAATAAAATCAGTTTAACAATTTAAGATGGAACTAACTAAGAGAGAGAAAAACCTAAATGGGTTTAATTATAAGCAAACCACACAAAGATATCAAATTTCAGAACAGCCGGATACAACAATTTCATTTTTCTTCTTCAAATTGAACAAAACTGAACTCGAGTACTGAGCTCCAAAGTAACAATAGGCAGTTGATTCGTATAAAGCCATTGGATTATCAGTAACATCGACCAGAGAAACAGGCATTGCACAACACATTTTTTACAGAAATCAGAAAAAGACAAATACCTGTTTCAAGTCGTCGGTCTGAGAGAGACTCTGCTGCTCCTCTTGGACTTGGGGCTGTTGTTGGGTTTCGTGGTCGTTGTCGCTACCATTGGGTCCAAGTTCGCCGTCGCTGGCAGTTTCGAAACCATCAGAGGCATCTTTGTTGGTGGAAGACGAGGGTTTTGAGGGATTCACATCGCTATGCCTTTCTGTCTCTTCGTCTTCTATCAGCATACTTGTGCTTATCTCAGGAAATCAATTCCTGCGAACAGAAGAGAAACGCAAAAGGGTGAAGGATTTTGGCTGCGGCAACTGCTTTTCCAGAATGCTCTTTTTCTACTCGGCAATTTCTTGGAGCACAAAATAACATCTCACATATTTCCTAAACGAAGCCGTTTTGTCTTCATGCCATGTTTGCTATCGTCGTTTCTCCCTGAAACTTTTAGAGGGCGTTTGTTACACAGCATGAGAATTGAGAGGTAAAACTAATTATTTACCACTGTATTAGAAAATTGATAATTAAGAACTAGACTTAAGCAGAACATAGGTTTGGAATGACACCATCATAATCCATGTTAGGCTACATGGATAATTAGTTTAGGCATCTATAACTAAACTCTAGATCCTTCATAAAAAAAACTTACTTGTAACGAAATAGCACTATTTTGGTATCTCAGTCAATAACACAATGACACGTGAAAAAATTATCTCGTGTATCATTGCATCATTGGCCAATGATAGCAAAAAATATTATCCCTATTGCATGAAAGTCGTTCTCCTAGATCCTCTGTTAGCCAACCTCAGAGTACACAAAACAAACCCCCAATTAAACTTTTCAACCAAGCAAGACGCCAACTTTCAAGTTTGAACAACACACAGCAGCCTAAATTGAACAAAATGAAGCCCCAAAAACCATCTCCACCACAAGCACGAACAAGAAACAACCATTTCTACATAAACCCAATCAACAAAGGAGCCTCAAATGCAGGTTACCACCTCCAAGTATGTGACAAACTTAGAACATCCATAAAACAGAAACTCATTAAACAAAAAAGACATCAACATACACAAAACATAAACCAAAATTAAACTCAATATTCAAAATAGGTCAAAACTATACATCAACATGCAACAACAACAAAATCCAAAGTGAAAGATCCGACCTGAGGCGTGACCAAACACAGACCTAGGATTTACAAATAAGGTGGGTTGAAATTTTAAGCCAATTTTTTGGGTCAAAATTTTGGCAGTCTCATTTGTTTTTTGTTTTTATGGCATTTCCCACAAAACAATAAGCTAACAACGAGAGGAAAAGCGAAAGGCTGAAATAGGAATAAAACAAGGGTCAAAATTCAAAATTTAAAGTACTAAAGGATCAATTAAAAGACGGAGCAACAAAAAGTTGCACAAGCCCATGCTTTAGTGTTAGTATGCTTTAGTGTTAGTATGAAATTGTATTGGCATTTTCTAAAACTTAGTATAGGTTTAGAAGTGTCATTAGTTATTGGGTTGAAGCATAATTGATGTCTCTGATTTTTTAAAACTGCGAGATTGAAATATATCAGCCATCCCGAATAACAAATTGTAACTTAACACGTATGAGACATTTGATCCAAGGATAAGCCATGTCATTTGTCATGCACATATGATATGAACATTTTTTGGCATTTAATATGATATTATTTTCCTGATTTTCTCTGATCTTAAGTAAATAAGAATCCCTTTAGAAGTGGATCTCATTTAGACATAATTTTAAATATATTTTCTTTCTTTTTTCTTTAAGTAATTTGCTTGAAAATCATGTTTTCAATTAGATCACACTATCAAGGTGTCTGATCACGGTTTGATTGCTTTGATATTGTGATTGATTAAAACCATATTTTCTTGTATGCCTTTTCTATTGGTTTCTATTGGCGTTTTTTATTGGTTTAATTTCACATGTGATTATCTATAGAAAAGGAAAATATATTTGGGATTTAATTTAATTTTTTCCAATCAAGCAATCTTTGTTTTGAACGTGTTTTCTTTTTGGTGGAACAAAAAGAGTCTATTACCAAAGTTCATGTGCCCCCTGCTTCCGAGAAATTACAGAGTGATACTGTATTACCACGTCAGCTGATGATACTCTCACTCAAAATTTGCCACATGTATTTTTTTAAACAAAATTAAAATATATTTTACAACTGGACTTTGGCTTACAACTTTACCCTTCAACTTTAATGACCCCCTAACACACACACACACACCCCCCCCCCCCCCCCCCCCCCCCCCCCCCCCCCCCCCCCCACCGCCGCCACACAACCCTCTTCCCTTCCCCCACTCAGCCACCCACCCCGGCCTTCCCTCCCCCTCCTATATTCCCACCCCCTCTTTCTCTCCCTCTCATTTTCGGTGAAAAGTTAAACCTACCCTCCCCTCCCCCCACAAGCTTCCCTGTGCTACGCCCTTGCTATCGACCCTTCCCCCACTCAGCCACCCACCCCGGCCTTCCCTCCCCCTCCTATATTCCCACCCCCTCTTTCTCTCCCTCTCATTTTCGGTGAAAAGTTAAACCTATTAATAAAAAAGCCAAAAATCTTAAAAATATGTGCAAACCCATTAAACATGAAACCATAAATCTTTATAATAAAAAAAACCACTAGTGAAAGAAGGGAAGATTGACGTTATGGGCAACCAGGAATTAATTGTGTTATAGAGCAGGTCATTGGGGCGGGGCCTGATGAAGGAAATCCTCCAAAAATCTCCCCCTTTTACATCAGATTCTTCTTCTTCCTCACCATCTTCATTATCAGCTTTCATTCAAGGTCTTTTTAAAAGAGTAAGAAGTGAAATTTTCTGAGATTACTCATCTTCGTTAGCTTCAAGGGTGTCTTCAGAGATAAAATGGTAAGAGTTTGACCGGATTTTGTTTATGGGTTTTCAGTCCTTTGACAATAGAAATTCTTTAGATTCATTAACTATGAAGATGGTGAAGGCTGAGGTAGGTGGCGAGGGAGAAGGGAAGACGTGTGGTGTCGCAGATAGCAGGCATAGCGTAGGGAAGAAGACGGTGGACAGGGAAGACGGTGGGGAGGGGTTTGGGGGGTTTGGGTGATTAAAGTTGAAGGGTAAAGTTGGTAGCCAAAGTCCAGCAGTAAAATATATTTTAATTTTGTTTAAAAAAATACATGTGGCAGATTTTAAGTGGGAGTATCACCAGCTGATGTGGTGATACAGTATCACCAGCTGACGTGGTGATACAATATCATTCTATAATTTCTCCTTGCTTCCCTGCTAAGTTCGTGACATGTGGCAAGCTACTTAACCCCACTTAACTTTGTTAACTCTTTTTGCTTCTTTTTTCTGTTTGTTTTTTTTGCTTTTTATCCATGTTCTGCCCCTTTCTCTCTTCTCTCGTTCCCCCTCTCCCCCTCCCTCCATCTCCTCTCCTCTCCTTCCTTTTTTGTTCTCTTTTCTAGATCTCCACCTCCACCTCCACATTCTCTCTCTCTCCTCTCTCTCTCTCTCTCTCTCTCTCCTCTCTCTCTCTCTCTCTCTCTCTCTCTCTCTCTCTCTCTCTCTCTCTCTCTCTCTCTCTCTCTCTCTCTCTCTCTCTCTTTTGCTTTTGCTTTGTTTTTCTTTTTCTCTCTTCTCCTTTTCTATTTCCTTTTTGAGTTTCTCCTTCACCCCCTTTTTCCCTACCTTCTCTTCTCTCTTCCGCTCCCTTTTTCCCTACTTTATTTTCTGAGTTCCTCTCTTCCCTGCCACTTTTGAGAGAGAGAGAGAGAGAGAGAGAGAGGAGAGAAAAAGAAAACAAAGCAAAAGAGAAAGAAAAAACATAGTGGTGGAGATCTGGAAAAGAGAACAAAAAGGAAGGAGAGGAGGCGAGACGAAGAAGAAAGAGGGAGAGGGAACCAGAGAAGAGAGAAAGGGACAGAACGGGAAGAAAAAGCAAAAAAACAAACAGTAAAAAGAGTTAACAGAGTTAAGTGGCTTGCCACATGTCACGAAATTAGCAGGGAAATAGGGGGCCACAGGAACTTTGGTAACAGGTAAACCAGACTCGAACAAAAAGCCTATAAAAGAAGATCTTTGTCTTCTTCATTCTTTAGAGATGTCAAAGACTATTTTTCTATGCTTTCACGATCATATTTTCAGTCCATAAATTTTGGAAAGTTGAGTTTTTATTTGAGATAAATCATCAAGTGTTCCATGTTTAATGTTGATTTATCAAACACTTTTCTCATTCATATTGCATTCATTTGCATTGATTGGAGACTCATACATTTGAGGGCACCAAGACCTTGGTGATAGTTTTTCTCCGGTGAGCTTGAATCGATGTATCAGATTCAACATAAAGAGAGTTGGAACAACTTCGATGAACTTGTAGCAATCGTGACCAGTATTGCATTCAACATAAGGAGTATTGAAATATCATCCCGTGACAAAAGTTGAGTTACTAATAAGTCGGTAAACATTATCTAGAGTGTGTCTAGGATAAGTGTGTGAGTATTTCTTGCAATCATCGTTCTATAATGGATTTGCTTTGGATTGAGGAGTCCCGTGGATTTTCCCGAGAGGTGGGGTTTTACCACGTAAAATAATTCTTTGCATTTTCATATATTTTTATGTTCTGTGCATTCAAGGATTGATACCACTTATCAATCCTCTGGGCGTGTTTTTATTCCTTTGCTACATTTAAACTCTGTAAACATACTATTCAACCCCCTTCTAGTGTTTTAAGCTATCCTACATGTAATTTCACTTAGGAGTTAGGACTAGGGGTGGGCATCAAGACCAAAAAACGGGACCACTGAGCCGCACCAGATGAAAAAAATTGTATTTACAACTACCGTGATTTATATAATTTAATGTATATTTTATTTCTAGAAAAAGCTATAGAAATTGTAAATAAACAAAAAATTGATCATTAGATTTTAGGCTAATAACTTTAGCTAGCTTACCCGCTAAAAAATTCATGATTCCACCCTTGGTTAGTAGGTCTTGTAATAAGGATGCTCACCTAGTGGCTCAATTTGCGGTAAAAAAAAAAAAAAAAAACAAACAAACTGTTTCTTGGGTGTGGGAGCGTTTGCGTTACCCTCCCTACTAGCTACTCAAGACTCTTGAAGAAGATGTAAACATTGTTATTAATGAATGAATTCACTACTACCGTTTGACAAAAACAAAAGATTGTCCCGGAAAGTGAACTCAAAATTTAGATAGGATTTTCCATAAGTTTTAAAGGCCGTTCTTCTATGAATTTCTTGACTACCACAATCTCTAATAATCCCCTTGAATGGAGGTAAACCCATCAATTTTTTATTTGATTAATGTTTTGATTTTGTTTTCTTTGTAAGATTGAAATTTGATTGTGTTCAATTATGTGGTTGCTTTGATTTCAATGATCAGAATTTTATTTCATGTGGGTTATGTAAGAATATGCAAATGACCGAATGGGATAGAATGGATGGATGAATATGAAAAAGTCCCATTCCCTCTAGCCCCTCTATATTGGCTTAATTTGGTGGCTGCTTGGACGTCTTGGTGATGACATTGTGTTGGGGTTATTTTGGTAGATTTGTGTCAGATATGTGCAAATCTGTTCATCTTCGTCCTCCCTTGGTTTGATGTGAGCCTGATTCGATCGGTAGTGGTAATAGGGCGTCATGTTTTGTTCCTTTTTTTAGTTATATAAGTGCAGCAATTCTCTATGAGTTTGTTGAATGGTCTCTATTTGGGAGAGCTTTAGTCTTTGTTTAGGTTTTAAGTTGTTTTATAGGTCTCTCTTTGGGGGGAGTACTAGCCGTGATTATCTTTTATACCTTATTGACAAAGGGTGTACTATAGCCGTGATTATCTTTTGCACCCCATTTAAACCTTTATTGAGTCCTTATTTGGGTCAGAATATGAGTTTAAGTGATTGATTGCATTTGTAGTTATTATAATCGAGGCTTACGACTTTTATAAATGACACTTCTGTCGTTTGGCGAAAAAATAAAATTGACAGTTATGTCCACCTACTCAACCAGACAAATTTCGTGACGATTTATTCCAGAATCCCAGCAAAAAAATCTTTTTTTTTTTTTTTTTTTTTTGTTTGACCCAGCAGAAAAGCTAGACAAGATATATAATTTCAGAATAGCATAACAAACAAAGAATCTTATCAAAAGAATTGAACCAGCTCAGTAATACCAGAGGCAACAATAACATCAGTTCACGAGAAGAACTTATCAACAGCAGTACGTACAAAGAATCTCATTTTCCAAAAGCAAGTAGAACCATCTTCTTTTATATATTTTGGTCATATCCATAAAAAGCAACGACCATCTTCTTTTCTATTTTGGCTATATCAAAAGTAAGAGAAAAGGCTTCTTTGGCACTGTTCAATGGAAAGACGAGAGGACATTTAAGACAATACTAAAGCAAGTAAGAACATAATCGTCTACCACTAAACAAATCATCGTTATTTAGCATACAAGGCTGATAAATGGCAAGTAGGGAGGGATACTACATGCCTCATCACCTATAAGGAGATATTCCTCGTTTCAACGAATCACAGTTTAACACATATGTAAAAATAATTTATAAAAAACATAAAAAGAAAAACTTATGCACATATGTCACGCTGTTGTTGGCGAGAATGTAAGAACTCCTACTTACCTGGTAAGAAGGACAGTATTTTCCAATAGAAAAACGCCTACTTGTTCAAAACTGGAGGGAGGATATTTGTTATGATTTTGGCCGGAAAATGTTTTAACATTTAGATAGATTTTCATCTCACAGACCAAAACATGAACACATGGTGTACCAGATTGGCGAAACAAACTAAATTTTAACATAATTAAGGGGCTGTTATTACAAACATTTTAGCATTAAGCACACCAAAACGTGAGAGGTTTCTAGCACATACGCATATGAAACAAGTACATAAACAAGTCAAGTTATTGAACACATTGAGCCTAAAACTCAGACAAGCTCTCCTCATCCTCTTCAACCACAGAGGACAAGTAACTCTTATTGTCCGAATTCCTCACCGAGCAATCTGCACGAATTTCGCCTTTGGAGCCGGTCAGCACGCTTAGTTGCCCCATCTTGATCATGGATTTCACAAACTCCTCAAAGAACAAGGTCTGGTTAACAGCAAAGCTCTTGACAATGTCCTTCGTCCTTTTATCCGTGTACAAATCTTGGTCCGATGTGAATAAACCTTGGCGGTTCATGAGATCGACGTAGTATTTGTTGTCGAATGTGTCCGGTGAACGGATATCGAGCACGGTGGTGGCGTTGGTGTCGCTTGCAGGGCAAATTTCCTTGAGGTCATTGGCAAAAGTTTTGTCCATGGTAGGGTCTTGGGTTGGGTAGAGCCTGTCAGTGAAGGAGGAGCAATGGCCAAGGCCGATGGTGTGGCCACCAGAGAGGGCTACAACATCTGTGGCATCTAGGTTTTTCTTTGCCAGGTCTGTGAGAAGTTTGCTTGTGTTGCTTGTGGGAGGGGGAAGGTTTGCTAGGGTTGCATTTTGTGTTGCAAAGTTTAGCCCATCCTTTCTTCCCAATGGCACATCATAGTCAGGGCCACCCGACTGCACCAAAACAAATATGCACATACATTCCAAAGGATAAAATGTTAGCAACTAGTTGAATTTTGTACACGCCAATTAAAAAAATCTTTCACATTTTTTAATTAATATTTTATATTGTATTCATAAATTATAAGACATGCCTAGATTCATAAAGCTGCAGGGTTTATTAATTGCAAAGTAAAACAATTATATTATTTATAAAAAATAAAAAATAAAAAATAAAGGTAGTCATGTATGCGGCCTAGATTCCATCTCCTTTTCTGACATTTAAAGGTTTTTATTTTATTTTAATGAGGGACATTGAAAGGATATAGAAACTTTCACAAGTGGGTGGGTGGGTGGGAACAAAAATTACTCATGGACTAAGGACAAAGAAAGGAATTAGTAAAGGATAATATTATATAGATATGAGTTTAATTATGTGGGATACAAATTCCTTTAGATCGGTACTATAAGATTGGTAAAATATTCATTGGTTCGTTAAGGACAACTAAGAAACCACCCACATGCCCACTTTTTAGACAATTTATAGTTTTGACACGTGTATAAAAAAAATTCTCGATAAATCGATTAAGAGCAGATATTCTTGCACCCGAGAATGTGTTTGAATTCCCCTTTTTCATTATCGCTTAAAGAAATAAAAATTCTTATTATATTTTAACTTAATTATTTATATGTGTTACACTTATTAATATTTATTTTGGCCTTTTTCTCTCGTTTTTATTTCTTTGATACAAGAAATATTGAAGGATTGTGGATGTGAACACGGACCTCGAGTGTTGGAATGAATGCTCATAAAGCCTCTTGCCTCTCTCTCATTTCTTCAGGACATGTTGGAATGACTTTAATATTTAATTGGAAGGGAAATACCAAAAGTGTAGGGAAATTTCTTATGTGTTGGAAGTCTTCAATGAACGAAATTTCCACACCAACCCTACCGTATGGTCAAACTATTAACTTTTGCCAAAAGCAATGAAAATACTTCTAGTCATCTGAAACAACTTCGCCAAAAAGAAAAAAAAAGAAAAGTATAACTAAATTTTTTTATTTTTTTATTTTTTAAAAAAAAAGTATTATTTACTTGAAGAATCAAATATATATTGGTTAAGGAATTAATTACCAGGAAAACAGAATCCCTTGCAGCCAAGGCTGTGATATCAGAACAAGAGACAACTCTGCCACACTTCTTGTGAATAAGCTCACGGAGGTCATTGATGATTTGAAAAGCCTTTGCCCTCAAGGTCAGGTTGGGAGGTGCATCCTGCTCACTTGGTCCGCTGGCTGATCCCTCCAGCAAAACCGACCCATCACATCCCTACATTATTATTCAACTTTCTTTTGTTAGATTTACAGCAAACTCTTTACCAAATGCATTTACGCTCATGCGCTAACAAGTTAGTAAATTAATACGATATTAACAACTCGATAACACAGTATGTCAATAGATGAAGAAAACATAAAATTTGACCAGTTTGGATTACGAAATTAAATTGAGGAGTGAGCACAAACGAGTTGCTAATACTGTATTAACTTATATATATAAATGATAATCTATTATTCTAAATTAATAGAATTTATTAGTAAAGTAATTCGAATTTTGGTGCAAGAAACTTGCCCAACACTGTATTAACTCACTAAGAAAATAAGAGGTCCATGCTTTTTAAGTAAAAAAAAATTCATTAGAAAATGAGTGACTGACAAAAGCCTTGGTAGTCATGTCAACTAGTAGTGCTAGCTACTTTAATTAACACATCAAGATTAAAGTGGTTCAAGAACTGGTTTGAGAGGGGCAGCTCTAGTCAAATAATTGCCAATAAGTTGAACTTTTTCTGCGGGTAGTAGCAGGCATTTTGGTCATTTTGGCATTTCTTCGGATGATGCCCAAATTATTTTTGGCATATATAAGTTCGTATTTTGAAAAAAAATGTTATGTTGTGATATTATCAATCGAGATCAATATATTTTTATTTTGTCGGTAAAATGGGGGTAATAAAAAACCCCAAAACTATGTGTGGTCAAGGTTTTGAAGAAAAGTCAGATATTTGACAAGAAAACGATGCCCTGTCCTACGAATTTAGCGGACAGAAACATCAAAAAACTTGACCAAAAAAATAGATGGAAGCCTACCACTAACCCATTAAAGATCAGCAACCAGCCATTTGATCAAGGGGTTCAAATATATACAGTTGAAACGAAATGTTACCTGAACAAAGCAGTCATGGAAATGGAGACGAAGCAAGCCAGCAGCTTGGCCAATGTCCTCCTTGAAGACTTTCTTGAGGTGTTTTCTGATTATGGAGTTGAGATTAGGGCAGCTAGACTCGTAGAAGGACCACGAAAGCCCTTTAACCACAGGGACAGAAGGTTGTGCCTCTGAGACACAAAACAAAGAAGAAGCAAAGAGAGAAGAAACCAGAAGCAGAGACAGAGAGGTGAATGAAGCAGAAGAAGAAGCAGCCATGGCTATGTTTTTCTTTGTGTTGTTTGGCAAAGATGAAGCGAAAGAGAGCCTTCTCTTTATAGGCAGATTTTTAATTTTTTTTAATAAGCTTTTGGAGCAAATAAATATTAAAAAACGACTTACTTTAATGACTTGTCATAGATGGCCACGTGGTCAACACATCTCAAGGCTTTTCACATCCATTGCGAGTAGGGCACACGGATTGTGGAAAAAGTCTTGAAAATCTTATCCAGATTAATAGACGTACAAGAAAAAGGAGATGAATCTGAACCCTTCTTTCTAGCCGGTGTAATCAAACTTGGCTCCCAAGAATATAAACTTGTAATGATTCATTATTGGTCAAAAGCAACAAGTTTCACCTAGGTCCCCTCCCTATGTGAACTATTTGTTTAACTTTTGCTAATTAATTGTTGAACTCCTCTAACACTCCATCATCTAAGTTGAACTTGTTTAGTGCAAGTTTGGTATTGCTTATTTGTGGTGATAAATGATTTTTTAAAAATTTGAGAAGCCTAATCCGTTTGGTAAACTGTGATAAAATCATTTATTGTTAAAAATTGTTGTGAGAAAAAGCTATAAGGGAAAGCAGTTAATGAGATGTTTTTATTTTCTGATTATGCTGAAATCAGTTTCGAATAGGCAATGGGTTTAATGATTATACGATAATCATTTTCTAATTATGCGTAACATCAAAATATCAACAACATTTTTAACAAAAATTTTACCAAATACAAAAGTATTTTCTCTCACAGTTGATTTCTCTTACAGCAAATCTGACAACGATTATTTTCACAGCACAGTAATGTCAAATTGACATTAGAAAATCGTTGTACTTCAATCTACGGATAAGTATTTGAAACATTCATACTAGGCATTTTGTTTGTCAACTTGTTGGTTCGATTGATACTCATACGTCCCCCCAAACTCAATTCATATTGTTTAGTCCAAATTTGCTTAATTTATTGAAAGTGATATGTTGTGGTTTGATAAGCTTCCTGATGGCAACTTTTAATTTTTAATAATTTAGCGCATCAAAATCATGTGCTTTATCTATCCATAATGTTTTTTTTTAATTGCAAGATTTTTTTTTAATCAAAGACTTTCACTAGAATAACAGGTATGATGTACATCTTATATCCTGTTTGGTGGTAGACTTTCTTTTTAGAGGAAAAAGATAATCTGTTAGGCATTTGAAGAATTAAAAGTTTGGAAGAGGAGATCTTGAATTAGATCAAGGAGCTCCTCAACCCGAAAAATGTATCATAACCACAGTCTTAAATATCGAAATTATCGGTGATATTTCGCCGATAATATCATTTTTTTGAATGGGCGATATTTTAGGCCATATCCACTTAATTATCGTCAATATATCGATATTTTTGTCAATATTATCGCGATTGAAAATGAAAAATAAATTAAATTTGTTGAGAAATTGCGCTTTTGCCAACAAGGGGATTCGAACCACTCTCTTTCCCATCCATCTACTGGGCCTTATCCAACACGATGCAAATGAGTTTGTTAATAATGTTACGACATGTAATATTTATATGGTCTTAAAAATTTCTGCAAGCTAATATTATCTAGGATAAATTTCCATTTAAAAAAAAATCCCTAATGATAAATTTAGGCATATGTTTAATTTTATTTATTATTTTATTATGGAGTTTTTTTTTTGGTTATATATTATGGAGTTGTATTCACTATTGAGTTTTAATAGTATTCATTATATGTGATACTAAGTTTTAACTTTAATAGGATTTTTTTTATGTGGTACTAAATTACTCATATATTTTATTTTTGTTTTTATGTCAAACTCATATATCTTATCATATGCAATATATTGTAATAAATTATTATAACTAAAAAATTATGGTGCTTTTAATTTTCTTTCACTAATTACTACATATTTTCTAAAGACACGGTGTTTGTTAGGTCGTTGCATAATCAACTCAAATCAGTCTAACCCACCATGCCATGCATTTTATTCCAATTTTTTGTGACACAATTGACTAAATAAACATCCTTTAAAGTTTTAATAAAAATTTCCAAGTTTTTCTCACAATTTCTGTGACTTTTATTCAATTTTATCGATATCGATATTTTCTTGATATTTCCATCGATATATCAGTGTTTTTGGACCACCGATATTTCCGAAACTCTCGATATTGTAGACCTTGATCGTAACCAACTCACAAAACCAAATAGTTGTTGCCATGAGTTGTAAATATTACATATTTACCCTCTAATATCTTATCATTGTACCCTCTAATGAAGTTTTGCACCACCAAAATTAAAACAAATTTATAAATAAATAAATAAAATCACAAGTCTCATTTCCCCTTTTCTTTTCCTCTCCTACCCCCCTAAATATACAGGTGCCTCGTTGAGAATCCTACTATATTTTCCACCAACTCCATAAGAAATTTACCCTTGCAATTAAATTTTATTCTTTTTTAACGACCTAGTCGTTTGACTTTTAAATTTATTATAATTACTTTCCTTGAATTTCATAGTCCTTTTTTGTTTATAAATGACTAAACTCTCTGTACACGCCACAGCTCTTGCCAAAGGGGATTTTTCTACTGCACATATTTGTCACTTTTTAAAAATAAAAAAAAATATTTGATTTTTTAAGTATCGAATCAACTTATTGGACCTCAGGTTTAAAAATTCTAAAAAGTAAAGCCCCTTAAAAATAATGAACTAGATTTTCAGCTAAAAAAAATACAACATGGACTAGGGAGAGCGAGATTAAGATACGTGAATAAATAGTTTTATTTTTATTAAAGAGGTGATCATCAATGTGGTACAAATAGCATCACCTTGTATGTAGTTTTAACGTTATTTCTAGTATTTTATTATCAAACAACAAATGGTTTTCCTTTTTACTACTTAAAAAATATATATATAAAAGAACATTTTGAGGAATTTCTAAAATTTTAACCATAAACACATTTTTCTTTAAATTAAATTTATAAATACATATATCGTGGAAGCACTCTCTTCATTTTATTTGGCATATTTTTAAGGATGAAAATATTGTGGAATATGCTCCCGCACCTTCTGGACATCAAATTTATATAATCAGAATCCCCCGTGTTGTTTGTGTTTTTCGGGGGGAAAAAAGGAACCTTAACATATATACATGTTGACCTAGAAATCAACCCAATTTCATGTTCAGATTTTCATGACGAGCAATCAATTCTCAGAAGCATCTAAAAGGATGACTATATCTATGCTCCTTATCAGGGAATTACTAAGAAAGTAATAATATGTACAAAAGCAGAAAAAGAAGAACATAACAAAAAGACCATTAGTTGTTTGGAATATGTAAATTAAAATACATATTTCTTTGTTGACTTAGCTATTCAAAATAATTTAGCTTTTTCGGAGTATAAACGATCATCTAAATTATTGGGGAGGGAGATTTCTCACATACACACACAACTATAATGCTGTGAATTCGAATATGAGACTTTTAGTCTGTAACTTAAGGTCCTTTTCTACTACGTTAAACCTCATTGTCCAAAACCATTTAACTTTTGAAGTTAATAATATGAACTATTTTTAAGAAGAACTCAAATAATTAGTTGAAATATCAGGCAGATCATATTTTCCTTTGTAATTTATCACGTGTCATATTTAGTAAAAAAGAGCCCAACAATTTTCAGTAACCACGTGAAGGAATATCTTTATTGAGGCTTGTGATTGATCATGGCACCCAGAGACATGATTTGATTGAGTGAGCTATGTACCCAGACTCAGAGACATGATTCAGTTCACTCAAGAATTTCTTTTTAAACCTCGGTATAATTAATTGCTACTTTAATTATGTAGTGTCTGCCTTTTTTTTATTAAATGCAATTTGATTTTCAGACGAATTGGGATCTCAATTCCAATTTTTTTAAAAAATTCACAATGAAAATTCTTTTCGAATTTTGTTCTAAATATACTTTGGAATTTGGAATTTTTCGGAATCTCTACATACATTCCAATTCCAATCCAATTTTTATCGGAATGTTCAGATTTTGGAATTCATTTGAACTTGTCAAAATCGAAAATTTTCGAGATGAAATTGGTCGGAATCTGACTTTCTAATCCAACTTGCACCCCTACAGTTGTTAAACAATCTATAATGGCCTACTTAATAAGAGTTTATCAATAATAACTATCACTTATTCTAAATAAATAAATAAAATCCTTAGCTAAAATATATATATGGGGTTAAAATAGTAAAAATGTTACATGTTTGGATAATTTAGTTATTTAGTTATTAATTTAGTCTATTTAGTCTTTCTGTTTGTATTCGTTAGTCACATGATTGTATTTGTGTTTGTGACTCACTTTGAGGGAACATGCCACATTTATTAACAGATACAAACACATTTATTAAATTGAGTGAATGGTAAAACTTAAGTATCATTTTGACATTTCAACAAAAAGGAAAAAGAAAAAAAGTGCTCAAACAAAGCTTTCTCACTTCCAAAAGAATGCTTATATATTGTGTAACGAAAAGTGGCTTTGAGCATGTAGCTAATCATTATGTTAATTTTGAGAGTAATGATAATATGAACATTCATAATAGACTTCTTAAACCACTTCTTTAGACAAATTTTATGAAGGAATTGGAAAAATACAACTTCAACCATGCTTCCTATTCACCTCCTAAAATAGGGAGACTTCTAGGAGCTCCTAAATCTGAAGAGAGAGAAAGGACTCGGCTCCCCATAATTTAATGCAACTTTATTTTATGAGTATTTTAAACATTTAATTAATGCTAACTATTTTTTCTATTATTTTTTAATAGAGATTGACCAATTAAAAAAAGTTATAGCATTTATGACTCTAAACTAAAGAGTATGATTGGAGTTAAAATTTTATAGAGAGCTCCTAAAATAGCTTTTATATATTTTTAGCTAAATGTTAACTAAAAAAATAGAGAGCATGATTGTAGATGCTCTAAAGTAGAGTCACAATGAGGTGTAACTAGTGGTAGAACT